TTTTTTCTTTCATGCGGAAAGCACCGTCCACTGCTGTGGTTGTGGATGCTGGAGAGCTTTCGGTGATGAAACAACCCTGTCAATTTCACAATATTCCAAATGAGAACTATATTGCCGAATATCTCTGATATCCCGGGGATGACATTCCAGCATCCCCGGTTAGCCCATGACATCTTTTTTTTTGGGGGGGGGCTTCGTACGTCATGCAATGACCGTGGACGGCGATAGAGCGATTTCGATCACCAAAATAGCCCTCTGCGCTTCAATAATCCAAACCGGAACCATATTGCCGGATGTCCAAATCGGTATTATATCCCCAGACAGACAGCGAGACTGCGCATGGTACAACTCTTACTCCGACTCTCAGAATTCAAACTTTAGCCTGCTTACACGCAACTCTTCGACTCTCAGAAAAAACAAAAACTTCAATTCTCAATCACCACGTACAGGACGCGTCTATATGGTTCTCCATTACTCGAAAGGAACTGCAGGCCGTTATGTTATGCAACATTCTCCTTCACTCTGCGGTCGCTGTAAGGGGTACACCACACAAAACACCTCTCTCATCCCACACTCGCGGGAAACACTCCGGACGGTCTACATGCATGCATCGAGAACTCATCATCGCTGGGGCTTCTCCCCTCCTACATGACAAATTAGCACAGTGATTCATATCATAGGGCTTCTCCCCTCCTACATGACACACACTGCTGTCATACAAGACAGTGAAATTCTATCATGGGGCTTCTCCCCTTCTGCAAGACACACGCTGCTGACAAAGATATTGGATACCTCTCGCTACTGCGAATCCCTGAATAAGGCGAATACATCTGGTACATGGGTCCACACCTGCAGCAAACAACGGAAATGTCACCTACAACAGTGTCCTCCCCTCCCCATTTCCGCCTCATCCTGCACAAGGTGGCACTTCTGGTACATGGGTCCACACCTACCTGTAGCAACAACGGAAATGTCACCTACAACAGTGTTCTCCCCTCCCCATTCCAACTCATACTGCACAAGGTGGCACATCTGGTACATGGGTCCACACCTACCTGTAGCAACAACGGAAATGTCACCTACAACAGTGTTCTCCCCTCCCCATTCCAACTCATACTGCACAAGGTGGCACATCTGGTACATGGGTCCACACCTACCTGTAGCAACAACGGAAATGTCACCTACAACAGTGTTCTCCCCTCCCCATTTCCACCTCATGCTGACACCTGCACAATTTTAACTGCGCTGGTATCTACAACTTCGATACACCGGGTCCTGTGTACCCCTTTTCTTTTCTGGCCGACACGCTGGATAATGTTTTACCCCTGTACATGAGTTTGCAGCTGGCTTGGATACACCTGGTCCTGTGTACCTCTTCTCTTCAGCCGACACGCTGGATACTGTTTCACCCCTGGGCGTGAGTTTCCAATCGGCTTTGATACACCTGTTCCTTGTACCCCTTCATTTCAGCCGACACGCTAGATACTGGTTTACCTCTGTGCGTGAATCTTTCATCGACTGCGGGGAGCGCTTGTGCTGCATCCCCTCATTTGATACACCTGGTCCTGAGTACCCCTTCTGTTCAACCGACACGCTTGATACTGATTTATCTCTGTAAGTGTATTTTCATCGGTTGTGGGGAGCGCCTATGCTGCATCCCCTCCTTTGGTACACCTGGTACCGCGTACCCCTTTTATTCTGCCCCAGACAAAGTTTTCATCGCCCGCGGACATCATGAAATGGAAGCGCCTGTACCGCGAATCCCCATCATAGAGTGACTGGTTTTCGGAGCCGAATTACCATCGTCGTACGAAACACCCGCGATAACACGCCTGGACTTTACCATCGAACAAGACGAACAACAATTGCTCAACAAAACAGCCACACTCAAGGTTGGAAACGCCTGAACGGCGAATCCCCTTTCGAAGATCATCATCGGTCGTATCACCGTAAGCGAAGCTACCATCACTTTACGAACACCAAATCAGAAAATGGAAACGCCTTAACCGCGAATCCCCTGGAGAACTTTCGGTATCATGCGTCACAAGCAAAATCATTCAATATTACTCACGAATCTCAACCAGAGAGAAGCGCCCCGCGGCAACACCGCGTTGTTGTTGGCCCTCGTTCAAAAGCACATTAAATTTCTCACCCTTGCTCCTCTGCGGCAATTCCACGTTCACCAGAATTGCAGTGGCTGCAATCCTCCAGTTCTCCAGCGCGTACTTTTCCCGCGATCAACAGGCTCGTGTGCTGTGCCGCCCGCTACTCCACCGCCGACACCACCATCCCTCTGCTGCCTTGTCATTGGGCCGGTCCCAACAGGTCGCTCATGTGTGTGGCCCCGAAGTATTATCCTCCAGGCTCCACCTCCTGACACCTCGTTCCGTGTGCCCGGGCCAGTCAACCTACCCCCATTAGTGCCTCTGCTCGAGCTGCCAACCATACAGAGAAAGTCGATGGTCTGGAACCCACCAAACCCACCTTTTGCAGGGGCGTCAAACGCCCGCACCGGCTCACCTTCCGTGCCCGATCTACTGGTGCTCTCGCTTCCAGCGGCGTCATCTGTCCTAACGCCAGCCGCAGCGTGCAGCTCTAATAAGCAGCTGCCTGTGGCGGCGAGATCCCGACAATCCCACAGCAGGATGCGGTGCGTCTCCCAGCACCGCCTGACCCCCCTCGGCTTCCGCAATCTGACTTTGCCTCCAGCAGCGATGACATCTTGTCCATCATCCCCTGCATCCAAGCTCCCTGCGCATGAATTCCCAGCGGGGGGCCAGCGGATGGGTGGCCCGGGGGACCTACTCCCCCGACTCCACCGGGTGGCACCCCAAACCGTGTGCCCGGCGCGGCTCCTCCGCGCCCTGCGGCGTTGCCAGCGCCGCTTGACTCCCTCCTTCTGCCCCCGCCGCCCTTGCAGGCGGCATCTGGAGTTGCCCTAGCTCCTCCATGACAGCCGACAGCACCTTGCTCTGCTCCTCCAGCCTCTTGGACAGCTCCGTCACGCGCGTGTCGATCGTGGTTCCGCCGCTATCGCTCGCTGGGGTATCTATTGCCAGGCATAATGTCTGCAAAGGGGCTCCTTCGAAGGAAACTCTAGAGTATTCGTCAACCCTAAGTGGTATGAATGCCCTTGTTGTCTTCGTAGAGACTGTAGTGCTTGATGTTGAGATGCTTGTTATCTCTCACACCCGGTTGGGGAGAAAGAGCAGGGAGTGCCACGCACACGACAGCTGAAAGCAGCTGGCGTGGGAGCTCCGCACAATCATTCTCTTGTACTACCCAATGCATACCTATTTATGTGCAGGGCACCTGAAACAGTCATATCATCTACAGATCCGACTACGTACGCACTCACACGAGCAGCCGAAGCACATACATGTTCACTCCGTCGCTCATACACATTTCGAAGTGGGGATCAAAATCGAGTTTAATCGAATCAAGTCGAATGTTCCGTAGTCTAAGAATGTAGTCTACGTAGATCACAGCCTCAGCTTGGTGTATCCTAATTGCTAATTTTCTTCCTTGAACCTTCCTTGTCGTCTTCGTTGAGGTTGATCCTGCCATACTTCACAAGGTATGTAGTTGGGGGATGGATGTGGTGTCAACGTTAATGTTGGAGGCATTATTTGCTATCAACGTGGGGTTTGTTGTGTCAACGTTGGAGGGTCCGCTGTGAACTGAGCACGGCCACGTGAATGGAGGTCGGCCGTGCTCGAGAAACGCGTGGGATAGAAAAGATGTAGACTAGACTATTCGACAATAAATAGTCCATCAAGGAGGTGGTCTATTGTCGTAGGCAGTCCGGGCAAAATCGACCCTTATTAGACTATTGTGAAACGGACATGGTTCCGCCCGGCCAGCAGACAATGTTGTTGTGGAACGGGATATTTGTGTACAAAGATCTGCGAGGTGGTACAGCAGTAGTACCGTCTTAGAGGCGTGGCGGTTCAATTGCCTGGGGTCCTGGAGAGGTGGGCCTCAAGCTTCATATTTTCACCGCGTTTGTATCACGGAATGGAGGTATAGACTATGTGTGTCGCCTCACTCAAGTGTAAGGGTCGGTCTTGACACGTGCACCCACACATTGCACCATTTACGCTGCGAAAATATCGAACATGTTCGCCCCCCCGCGGATCCCAGATGTTCGACTGACGGGCTAGCATGAATGTTCACCTCTCCGAGCCTGGCCCACCAGGATGAGTTATTTTGCCTTTGAGGATGGTACACAAAGCGTAGTTTGGCCGAAACGGTCCACAACGAGCGTTCATTGTGTGCTTGATGCCGCGGTGACTTCTTAAAACTTGAGCCTCCTATTCTCGAAAGGCGCGTCTATTATTATTGTCGAATTTCAGTCCCGTTCTGCTCTCATAGGAGGGACGTAGGCGGCGCTTGATAACCCTATCGTGGCGAAGGGGCACTGCACACGATTTCCAGTTTCCAGCAGCCGCGGTTTCCTTGGGCAAGGTCATCACCTGACAGTCAAACGTTGTGCTCATGAGAATGTTGATCAGAAAACACCTTCGACAGCAGTTTAAATTGCGCGTTCGGATGTGAAACACTTGTATTACCGCAAGTGCGACCCGACCCCATATGTGGCTGCGCCAGTTCCTCAGAAAAATGACAAACTTAAATGCGGCATGCCAGTAACTAAACCGGCAATCTTCTCTGAAAAGAAACAAGTGGTACCATTCGAGGGGCGCACTCCCAACGGGAAAACCGACCAGGCTACAGTACCTTGGGAGTCACTCAGCAGATGGAAAGAGCAGAGTACAAAACTTATGCTTGTTCTGCCGCAAGTGGAACCCGAAGTGGGACGTGCACGTGATATTCGACCCGCCAACCTATTGGTGCATGCACGAGGCCGGTTGGCTCTTACCCTCTTGGGCGCAACAAAGATGCCAGGCCCAACCCCGAGGCGAACAAGGAAAACAAATGTCATTTGATGCTCACAAACCGAAGCAGCGTTGTTGCAAGTCCGACAATAACCAACCGTGGCGGATACTTGAAATCGCTCCATCAAAAAGCACGCAGACGGCGACGACACATCGGAAATAGTCCAGCTGCAATAAGACCCAAAATGAAAGCTGAGGGGCGTATCATACCAGAGTGTACTTCTTTCTTCGGTTGTTTCCATGAAGACGGACGGTGTGATACAACCTCGAAGAGTGACCCCATTTCGCCACTGAAACAGTTCCCGGTGAACAAAAACGAAAGTAAAGCAACACGAGGAACTCAACCGAAACCCTCGCCCACTATTGCCGTAGAGCCGCGGCATTCTTTTTTTGTTTTTCGTACTAAGACACAACGAACACATCTCCATCCATATTCATAGACAAGAGTCTGAAGATAGATGAGAAATGGATTCATAGCGTCAGCGGGAACTACCTGTGTTTCTACGGTTTTCTGTGCAGCACCCAGCGATATCTGCCCCTTTGCATCGAAGTGACAGGCAGGCACACCGAAACGATGAATCACCGAAAGGGGGGGGAAACACCACGGATGGATGGATCCTGTTACCAAAATCCAACCTAAGCTGGAGCAAAACGTACTTCTCTGGATGGTCCCAATAACATCGAAGCAGATCAACCCTTACACTGCTGGAGACACATGGCCACTTACAAGACAAAGCTACAGGGTTTTGAGGGTCATTTCGAACTTTCGCCTGCAGAATATGTACAACCAACCTGGCTACATAATCGATCTCAAGACGTCAGTGTGGAAAAAAACGCGCGAACTTACTGGCAGACTGTAGAACCAAGGACCAACTTGCCATCACAAAACTGCAAAAATAGTTGAACGCTGGAGTTATCTGTACCTTCCAAGCACTCAGCCCCCACCCATACCAAGACACGCCGCCTGCATTGCATCGCGCCCCAAGCGTTCACACAGCAAGCACCTGACGAGTACCGAGCAGCGGTTAACCCGTCCGCGTGAATTGAGTGCGCTCTGCGCTCTGGCCCATTCCGCGCACCAACGACATGAAATACCGGTGGTACTGCTGTAGAGTAGAACATGAAACAACTGCAAAATCTCCAAAAAACCCGCCGTAACAGCTTCGATATTTACATGGTGTAAACAGGATTTGGGTCTCCCCTGGTCTCCCGCTTCTTGTTTCGGTACAACAGCAAGCGAAGGTGGACACACAGCGGCCCGTTTCGTCGTCGTGCTCCCAGCGGCGAATGAATCAAGGCCGTAAAATACTACACAAAACGCCACAACAGTTTTCCACAACAACGGAAACTGCTGCTGTCCCTTTACGCATGACTCGAACGTTCAAGCAGGCACCGGAGACCTGACAGGGTGTTCACGAACCTCCTTCAAAAATGCTGCCGCCTGGTTGGTGTTTTCATTCCTTGCTCAAGGTCTTGGCCAAAGCGGGAGAGAGAGAGGCAGAGGGAGAGAAATAGAGCAACAAAGCTCACGAGCGAAAATCGTCCATGGTCTTTCTTACAACAAAAGTCAACGTAGCCCTCTCGTGACACACAAGCCCGAAACGCCGAATGACAACGTGGCATCCGAACAAACTGCTGCCTGCTGACTTTCACAAACGATTGGTAAACTTTCAGACTCGCCCTTCGCTCTCTTTCCGTCTCTCTCTCTCTCTGACCAGTTTAGCTAAGCGACGGCCAACTACTTTGAATACCTATCGAAATTCAGAGTGTGAGAGGCATGGTCTCGTTTTCCATCTGCTCGACGGGGCAAGTCGGGCACTTGAACCTCGATCCGTTTCTCGCGAGGCGGCTGACGCTCGATCGGAGCACCGCATGCCCGCACTTGAGCAAGACCGGTGGGTTGTCCAGGGTGCTGCGATGAATACATGGTGTTAGGCGTTTTGCGCCGTGTGTTGAGGAGGGAAAAACACCATTGCATCATTGGAGAGGATATGTCAAAAACATTGGGACGTCCAGGGCCAAGGGTGGTAGGAACGCCATTCGGGCCAACTCGTTTCTTCGTGTCTCCCACACCGAGTAAATGAAGTGGCAATATCCGTTTCGCGCGCGCTCTACCGCGTTCTACACTACGGTCACGGTGAGCGGACCCAAGAAGATCTGTGATGGAATGTTGTAGCTCTATAGTATCAGCACAGCCATCGCCACCAGACGAATATTCCACGCGAGCACCGTCAAGGCCACGCGCGAATACTCCACAATAATACTACAAGTACAACCAAACACCACTACACCACAGCCACAGCCACCACGTCCACCGCCGTAGACAACCAACCAGCGTTACCACCGCACCCGACAACACATCACACCACCGACCAATAAACAAAAAACGAACACAACACACAACATCAAAAACGATACACATCAGCAACAACTGCATCAAATAACAACAACAACAACAACAACAACAACAACAACAACAACAACGAACGACAACGACATACCTTGGCTCTCTCGAGACCGGGCAGGAGAACATGCTGTGGTAGCGCAAGCCCGGCGGGAGGGGCACCTCCAGCGGCAGCTCCCGCATCCCGTTCCACTCCAGGTTGCTTCCCCGCACTACCGCCGCCATCTTCACAAGGGTCGGCAGGGCCAAGATCCCGGCCTGAGATAGGACCAACGCAGCAGCAGGGGCAGCAAGAAACAAACTTGAATGTGACGTCGCCATGCCATGGTGGTGGTTGTGGTGCGGTTGAACCCGTTGGTGGGGGGAGGGTGAATGCTCAGGCGGGAGGAGGACGAACAAAAAGGACAGAGAGGTGCGCGAGGAGGGATGATTGCGGATAAGAGCAGGCGGCGCTTTGTTTCGCTATCTGTCGTGCAGTGCCGCCCGCGTGCCATGATTCGAAGCACGACGTCGGAACTGCTGTCAGGGTAAAACGGCCAGGAGGGAGGCGGCGGGAGAAAGAGTTCACGGGTGTTCATAGCAACGGAGACACTATTAAACATTCCTTACAAAGAGCACAACAAATCCATCTCTTCCAGAGATAAGAGTCCGTTGCAGATCAGCAACGAATAAACAGCGTTGTACGGTGACCAACTAATATTCCTAAGGCTTCCCGAGCAGCGTACAGCGACAATTGTGTTATTTCCCTCACCCGTCGATACTGCTGTGTCAGGGATACACGGCCAGGATGGAGGCGGCAAAAAAGAGTTGGCGGGTGTTTTAGCGGAGGCGTATTGTTTTTTACACAGCCGGGAGGGAGGGAGGAACGGGAGCGGGGAAGGAAGGAGGGAGAAAAAGTTCGCGGGTGTTCATAGCAGATGAGGCATTTTTTTTTGCCTTACCCGGAAAGCGACGGAGAGGATGCTCTCCCGCGACAGACCGGAGATCCGGCTGGCGTCGACCGCCACCGACTCCTTCACGCGAGTCCACAGCTCCTGGGAGAGGAGGTGGCTGTAAGGCGAAGCCTCCAGGTTTCCCGACCACAGGAGGCTCCCCATGAGCTCCTGGCAGTGTAAGATCATTTCCAAACGGCGGCCAGCGGTAGAACCCAGCGTCGTGGATACGTGTGAGGGAACGTGAAGGCGATTTACTACGTGAGTTTTTGCTATAGTGAGACTTGAGCAGCGTCGGAGAGGGGTCGCCGCCAAAGGATTTACACCAATATTGCCGAATCCCGGGAGTCAACGCACACGAGTGATGCGTTCGAGCGCGAAGGTACCAACAGAAGTGGCGAACGTATCAAAAGACCGGTCAACGACGATAAAAGAAATACTACCATGTCAACACTTGTGTTGTATGACCAGTCCGCTGAGCGTGGTCAGATGCTCTTGACAATCTTCTTCGGCTTGAACACAGCTAAAGCTCGTGAAGGTACAACTATCCGTAAATCCATCGCTGATCTCCTTCTCCCGTCGTAGCGGCAGCCACGTCGGAGGGGAGGGTCATAACCTGCAATTCCCGCATGTGGCCCCCCGCCACGGGCATCACTCGCTCCCGAGCATACATCATCGCTTCTCGTCGTTGCCCCGGGTCGGCGCTCTGATACCAAGCAGCAAAACGTTTGAGAGAGATCAGCCTGTCGTCAAACATTTGACCAGTGTGCATTTCACTCAAAGAAATTTCCTTGCCAAGATATATAACGGGGCAGGATTCAAAGGAGGGCTCAGGAGGAAAAACACGGCCAGAGAAACAAAACAGCCTCAAAGTTGACGGAAATCAGAATCAAAGCAAGTCATTACGCACACGCAAGCGGCCCAGGTGACTCAGCTACCAGAGCATCCAAGTCGCCGAGACGGGGGGTCGATGCATTAATAGTTTCTTTATCTCTGTCGACAGTCGTTTCGTGCAAAGAAATTACGGCAGAGTAAAACTTCAGGAACTACTGTACGACAGCACAATCAAAATTGACGAGGCCAACGATACCGGCAGGCAAGCGTGACAGGGCGAAAGCTCTCAATCTCAACAAGATCTACTGGATGATGAAACATGCAACACCGAGCCGGGGGGTGGCAGAAACGACCAAACTCCCGGCCTGCCCTCCCTCCCTACCACCCATCCTTCCCAGCTTCAACCAAAACTGGGCCCTGTGTTGCCGAGGAAAGAACCTCCCTGGCGTTGGACCAAGGAAAACGTCTACGGCGTCCCTGAAACTGAGCGGCCTTTCCCTCCTTTCCGCCGAACCGAAATAGCGAAGGAAACGCGCCCGAACGCGGAAGGTATGTGCGTCGCCACGGGAGTGAAGGGGGGTCCGTTTCGAGAGACACACCCAGCGGTCAGTGACCCAACCCAGCAAACTACCAAGTCAACAAAGCAATGGCCGCACCACCGCTACCTCCGTACCCACAACCACGGACAAATGAACCAACCACGGACACATGAAGCAAGCAGCACCCGTGCCACCCCATCCCGTCCTTGCGCGTACAGCAGGACACACACCGAACCCACCTCCAAGAAACGGAGGAAACGCAATCGAGCAAGCTGGAACTCCAACGAGCTCCCCACCCCCTCCAAAGCTTTCCGTCGCTTCTCGAACCACCTGGGACGGTGGGCGGGCGAGAGTAGAGAACAAATTGTTACATGTTGCACATGTATAGGGGGGGAGAGGCAAACCAGGTTAGTCCCAACCGTATGACCACTCAACACGCCGACACACCCCAACTTTATTGCCGCCGCCGCCGCCCCCCCGCGCGTGCGCCTTTTTCGCTTGATATTCCCATCACCACGATGGCTTCGTGAACCTAAGCCTTGGTGCTCGGCCGGGTCGGCAGCGTCGTGTCATCCTAAGAGGAGCTGAACATCACACCGTGAATAGGAACAATATCCGACACATGGGTATGATAGGGTATGATAGCACATCGATCACCCACGATTTCCCGTCCCCGCCGCGGATCCGAGCCATGATACCATCCACTGCGCAAGCACGGCTTTCGTCAAAGCCATCATGTATTTTGTAGCGTCTGCCGTCGTCTGTTTGATGTAAAGCCAAGGGCATGACATGCCGCACGCACCTCTCGGCAGGGGCGAGGTTGTGCTTGTCGAGGGCGTCGAGCACCCCGTGGATCTCTACCAGATGCGAGGTAGTCTCCGCCGGGATCGATGCCGTCGAGTCCTACCAAAAGAGAAACAAAACGAAACAGAGACCACACGAGAGAATACGACAACGCGCGAACGAAAGAAACACAGCGGTTGTGGGATGTTGCCGTGCTTCCCTAGGCAGAGCATCGGCGCGCTAACCTGCCGAACAGTGTCGGCGCGGCTCAGAAACGAAAAACGGTTAGAAGGACATGTACGCGTGTGCGTTGTGTGGAACTGAACATGCAGCCCGAGACGGTCGAGAGTGCCCGCCCTACCTTCATGGTGCTGGTTTTGAGATAAATTCGGGAACGGCGCAGTGGTGTTGTTGGCACTGCTGCGGGTTGCTTGAGATTCTTGCTGGCAAGGAACACCCTGGCACCACAAACCGAACCGGACCCAACTCAACCACCAACAGCGGCGCGGCCAAACCTCCTCCAAACATGCAAGCAGAAGAAGAAATCTTATTCGGCAGATAGAAACCACCAGGATGGCAGTGAGGGGAATTAGAGGAGAGGGAATGGGAGGAGGAAAGACAGAGACCAAAACACCAGTCGAGGAGGGAATCATGGCGTGGAAGAGAGCAAAAGCTTCGAGCCGGATGACCTCCCCTGCCACAAACGACGCAGGGCCAGAGAAGAAATGTCGAAAAGTTGTTGTCAAAACGATAATGAGAACGATGGAGTTGAAGGCACGAAGGATGAAGGGAAAAGCACTCCAAAACGAACTCGAGTGCAAGGTAGCAGCCTCATGGACGTGTGTGCAGTTTTCTTTACCGTTTCTGTCTTTGATCCGGAGAATAGATGGCAACGACGTTGTAAAACAAGCCGCCCCCCCCGGTGTTTGCCGTCGGGGTTGGGTTTTCGTCGCTTGGCAACGACGTTGTAAAACAAGCCG